TTCCATCGTTATTATGAGTAGTGTCTTGTGTATCTTTTTTTAGATGTGAACTAATGTTTTGTAAACGTACAGATACATGTCGTTGTAATGTTGATAAACCACGAACAAGTACATGATTCTCTTCATTATTACTATTGGTATTATTATCAGGAACATCAGCTGATGTTTCAGCTTGACGTAAATTTAGAAGATCATTTTCCTAATAATAAAAGTTGTCTTTAGATATTTTGAGCAAGAATTTTTTTGTCTAAACTAACTTCATCAGTTAATCGTTCTTCAACAATAATAAAACCTAATTTTCTAAGACGATCTTGAAAAAATTGTCTATATTCATCATGTTGACGATTAAATTTATGACTTCGTCGAAAATGATTTGAATGATAACGTGTATAGACAAGAACATAATCAACTGGAAGTAGTTGCCCATTATAATACATAAATTTCGATCGATCAATTGGCATTATATTTGCTTTTTTATGTATATAATTCTAAGAATACAGAAGTCACAAAATATTTGTTCATGTTTTACATACGCCAATCGGAACAATAACTGAATACTTACGGAATTAACAATAATATCATGTTGTAAATGATGATTGTTATTTACATTCATTTCTTGTGCATCACCTACAAAAATTATATCGATAAAAATCACATGTGCTATTTAGAAATTATTATGAATGAAACGAACTGTTCTTTTAGTGAAAAGATCGGCTAGTAGTCTCAGGAGACAGAGAGAGAGAAAATTATTTTATCGCTTAATAGATAATGATGAATTCGCTATTATGTCGTGTTTCGAACATTTTTATTGAAGAACGCAAAAGAATGCATTTCAACAACAAAACAATATTCCATGAGATAAACAATAGCGATGAATAAAAACAAGACAAAAGGATTACAGAAAAAAAAGACGTATGCACACAAACAAGTAGTATTCATTCCATCGATTTATTTTTCCCTCTAGCATTTTCTTTTTGTATCTCTCACTTCAGATTACGAATGATAGTAAGTGGCTCTTCACATATTTCTTCCGGTCTACGACATTTCACATCAAATACTTATTATTTGTCGGTTTTCTTTTAATATCATTTGATAATTCTTTAACGAGATGAGCAAAAGAAATCGACTTATGCTAATCATATATGTCCTTCTAAATATCTCATAACTTACCATTAACATTATAATGTCCATTCGATCTCATGCTGTTTCTTAAGAGATATGAATCGTCTTCTGGATTAAATTCTAAAGGAAAACAGAAAAAGTGAAATATTTGCATTTAATAGGTTTAACAAAAGCAAAAATAATGCAGTGATAAAGGAATTGATTAGATAAGCAAGGATAATTAAGAAATACAGGGGTTTTATAGAGTAGAATACCCGAAACAGAACGGCATGTATAATATGAATCAACAGAATCACGATGATCAGATACATCATGCCAACTAAACTCTGGAAGTATAAATAAATAGGAATGAAATCCTTTCTTCTTTGTTGAATATCAAAAAGAATTATTTTTGAACCTACGTTTTGATTCGATATCTGTTGACGCTGTCGTAGTTTCACCAAATAAAAATGAACCTAAAATATGTATCATTTCATAGGATAATTAAAAATATAATTAATTTACGTAAAATGTTCATAATATTAACAAATTGTCATCATAAAAAATAATATTAACATAGTCAAATTAAAAGCTAATAAAAAAATAAATAAAATTTGAATAAACAATCATTGTTATTACCAATCTCAGGTGTGAATGGACTTAGAAATCGAATTGATGAGTCATTAACTAATAAATAGATAATAATTAAAAATGAATAAATCAATATTTGATATATTCAGTTAAGTATTATTTATTCTAGATAAAATTAATAACGCTATATTGAATGTGACAGATGGTACCAACCACATTCTTCTCCTCAAAGAACCGTGATTAATTTCTTTCTATGTCTATAGAAATATTAATCAGAAGATGGCGTGAAACGATGGTTCAAAAATAAACAACACCTACCGTTCTTTTTTTTTATTCCTTATCATTCCTCTTCATAAAAAACATACATAAATGAATTTCTACATTTAATTCGATTCTTCTTTAATCTGCCATAGAAAATCAAACAATTTATTAATTATATGTATTTGACACATTCTTGTAAATCTCAAGGGACTACTATTTGCTTTGTTTTACAATAAATGTATTTACTGACTGCTAAGTATATAATGACTTATTCAAACATTATAAATATCTTTAAGTAGTCGATACTCGATACTAACATGATATGAATTCGTGTGCAAAGCATTTCACGTCAGCAAAAATAGATAGAATACCAAGATAATTGTGACATAAAATGATAACCTTTGATACATTATTTATCGTCAGCTGTTTTTGCATCTGTAGAACATTTATTAGTAGAGAATGGCATCTAATTTTTCTTTGTTTTCATTATATTGAAATAAGAGAAAAACAATGTCTTTTTCGAATGTATCCTACAAATAAACTAAACTATGCATTGAAAATCCGAAAAGGACAAATTTGATGACTACGTTAAAACTAAATATAATTGAATTAATGAATATGATATTTAAATTTGTAAAAGTATTTTTAACAGTTTCAAGATTCTTTTTCTATCAATAAAATATATTCTTAAAATGGTATTATTTTTATTTCAATTTAACAGAAATCAATAACTCTATGTCGTGAAAAATCTTAAGCTATAAAAATTGTAATTTCAGATTTCTTTCTCACCATGAGGCAAAAAATTTATTTATTTGACATTACGTTAAATTAAAATACAGTGGTTTGCCAAAAGACTTGGAACAAATTGACAGCATAAACATTTTATATTTTCTAGATTCTCTTAAGCATTTATTTTACTATATTCGTAGGTTTATACTTACTAGACTGTTTGCTAAAAATATTCGTATATTTGATTAATTTCTATTTTGTCGTTCTTTAATTACAATCTGATATGGTAAAGACTAACAGACTAAAAATACATCATAGTTCTGTATTACATTATCGGAACAAGGAAATTCATTTTGGTAAAAAACGAACGAAATACGAAGATAAAATAGTTTGCAATTAGTTATCGGTTGAAACAGCTCCGAACTTGCAATTCTCTACAACTACGAGCAGGCAAATGGTCGAAAATCGACTAAGAATTCATGTTTGAGATTCCATCAGTTATTGTGGAATAGTTAATTTTCATTCATTTCGAAATATTAGAACAGTGACTATTACATCGAAATATAAAAAAACAAATTGATTTTCAATGACAAACGACAACTAACTAATGAATATTGAGTTCAACAAGATAACAACCTCAAGCATTGATCTTCAACAACTGAAAGCTAGTTGGTTGGCAATGTTCCACTTATTATGGACGGCCCATGCAATAGTTCGAACCTCGATCCGACTGAATATATGTGGAACATTATGAAACATCGGACTGAAAAAACAAAAGCAACAAAATTTAATGAATTGAAAACTTTTATAGATGAAGACTGGAAAAAATGAAAACTTTTTTGTAATTAATCTGATTAACAGCATGAAAAACAAATGTTTCTTAGTTATTGAATAAAAAGAAGGACGAATAGAATACTAAGCTGCATATTGTAAAACTATATATTACGATATATTAAATACAGAAACATTTTTTAAAAGCATTTGAAACAGGCCTTAATACAGAGTAAAGATGTATTGCAAGTCCTTTTCCAAACCACTGGATGCATATACACGAACTCCTTCCTTAAACTTTACAATTCATACCTCCCATCGAAACCTACTTTTTTCTACACAGATTTCATATAACAAAACATATAAGGTCTGAGATAGATAGAACACGTCGCGTTCTATCATGGACTATCTTTGATGAAACTTGATCTAACGCATAGGCAAATCGTTCCTGAAACACTTGAATCCCGACCGAAGAAATCCTACGTTTGATTTATATGGTTATCAGAAGCTGCGCTGATAACTTTTTTATTTTAAAATAGCGAAATAAATCATAAGTGCATATCATCAATTAAAAGAAAAGAAGCACTCTGTTTTCCATTCTATCACTTGCGTCCAAATGGGAAACTAACACCCACTCCAACACCATAATTGGGTTTCGACCCGAAAGATTGACCCTGAAAAATGTGTGAATGTAGAATATAATATAATTAACCTTCACAAATGAAAGCAACTTACATTGGAAACGCCAAAGCTTCCGCCTATTGTTGCTCCAACTCCTACAGAAGGCTTATTGTTTCCACCATTGTACACAGGAATGCCGATACCTGCCTGACCGCTAATGCCAAAGTTGTTTATGTTGTTTCCACTGCCGATTGCTGTCACACCGGGGTTTGGCTATGAATAATATTTAAGTAAAGCGCATGTATCATATGCAAGGTAAACTCACTTTGCCTGACTGAGCAGCCCCAGCACCGAATTGACCAGCAGTTTGACGCACTTGTCGTTGTGGAAAGCAATGCACTGTGGCACACCACAGCATAAGCATTACTAGCATACATGTTTTCGATAACATAGTAGATTATTTCAAGAAAGATGAAATGATAGAACAGAAACCAGTTGAAATCTTTTTTGCAATACAACTTTCATCACGTTGCAACCCTTTTATAGAAGAGCCGGGCATTATGACGCAGATAAAAATTTCGCGGAAAGATATGCGCGTTCCACGATAAAATTGAAAAATCGATGAGAGATTCGACATCTGTGCCAATAACTTCTACTTTTCAGCGACGTCCGCCAATGGAAGTTTGTTGGAAAGTTACACATATGAGTAATGAGGGTGAATTATTCTAGGAACGGATTTTGGTATGGGTGTAGGTGTTGGTATG